CTAACCTTAAGCGACAGTGGAGGATTTGACAAACTCTTGAACCTATATTTGGATCGAAATGAATGTCTTTAGCTCTATGACTTAAAGCAGATTTAAAATCATTGATGTCTGTAAGAGATTTAATATTTTGCGGTAAAGCATTCCATAAACTTACAGCGTCCGGTAGAAATGAATTGCCATATAGAGCAGTACGGCAGGCAATAGTTTGCAAATGCGATGCGTTACGTAAGGGATACTTACTGACTTGAGAGACGAAGGGAGGGACGAGTTCGTTTAGATAGTGGGGTAATCTGTTATGATACATTTTGAAAAATGTGATTAGTTTAGCTATTCTTCTTCTTTCGTGAAGAGAAACAGAGGATGTTTCAGCGTAGATTTTATCGTGACTGGTACCGCGAACAGCTCCACATATCGTACGTAAAGCGTCTAAGTGCATGTTTTCCAAGATTGTTGCTTGAGTTTAGGTACAATTGTCATACATATGGCTACAGTAGTCAAAGATCGGAAGTATATACGAGTCAGGGTGTTTCTCGTTAATCGATATTTAAGGCTTCTAAAGCAATTCATCATGGGGCTGACTCTCTTAACGATATCGTATATATGTATATCCCATGTACAATCGTTTTGAAGAGTTATACCTAAATGTTTATGGCTCGAAGTTTCTTCGATTCGAACGTCGTTGAAAAACAAGCTTGGATGAGGACTGTTTTAGTTTTAGAAGGGTTGAAATCGATTTTCCAGGTTTTTGCCCAGTTTGCTATTTTAGTAGATCATTATTCAGACTAAACGCCGCTACGTAAGGGTCATCTATTATTACATAGATAGAAGTATCATCTGCAAATAATCGTATATTACTGTCAATGCCTTAACAATATCATTTATGTAGACCAAAAACAGAAGTGATCCTAGAACAGAACCCTGCGGGACGCAAGCTTTTACCGGTTTAATATTAGAACTATAACCATTTATGACTACACACACGGATCGATATTCTAAATAACTGTTAAACCATTGTAATAGTGAACCATCGATTCCACATGATTTTTTAACTTATGCACGAGACCTTTGTGCCATACTCGATCAAAAGCTTTGCTGATATCGCAAAATACTGCACAAAAATTGATTCTGTTAAATGCTATCACAAATGAATAAAACAAAATACAAATATTAGAAATAAAACAGACTAAAGTCTGCAACAATGTCAAGCCATTACCTTGCTCGAGGAATGTATCCATCAATATCCACATAGGTTTAGTACCGATTTTGACAGTCCCAAATTTGACAATGAAATTTCTCACTTCTGTAATTGATCTAGCCAGTTATCCCAATTTTGTGAACTTTGGTACACTTTTCAGCTCTTCTCGTGTCCGTTTTTTGACATTACTGGTAAGGATATAGGAACCAATTGAGCTTTGGTCTGGATGTGTATGCTGTTTGTCCCCTCTTCTGACAACAGTCCCATCTGCTGTTGTAGTGGCTGAGGCTGTTTTCAGGCACTGACATCTCCATATAACGGTACAATTCCTGTTGGCAGTTCGTCTCAGATACCTATATCCAGCAACAATTCTCCACCTGCTCTTCTACCATCTAATTTTGTACCTTCCTCAGCCATGATGAAATACTTTGCAAGTAATTGGTAAAGCTACTTATCCCATCCTGCTTACCTTTTTTTAAATATTGCATTCATACATCTCAACGGATAATGCTGCTTCTCGCATCCTTTTCTCTCAGTTGATTGTGGTATTAGTGTTCAAGAATGTTACTTGTTCTGTACGTCTCTCAGGTGATTTACATAACTACCCTTAATTGGTGCAGCTAGTTATCCCAGGTTTGACAGCGAAACTTCACGCCTTACCAAATCAGTGACCAAGACGCTGTCAAAAATGAGACACTACCTCCACATAAAGGAACAATATGCCATTCATTTGCAGCTGACAAAGAATCCTGTTCCATGTCAAGTGTCTTTTAACAGTCTAATATGCGAAAAAGGGATACATCGCTTCAGTGTTTTTCACATTGGTGTATAATCTCATTGGTCATCAAGATCGCACACATGGCAACTAATTGCATGATGTCCGCCATTCTTTAAAAAAGTAATTTAATTAGCCAATAATGAGCAATCAATCCACTTGTGTCTTTCTTGGCTTGGTCATTGTAAATGTTTGGAAATCTTATATTTCCAAAATTGGAAATGTCTTGGAAACATCATCTTTCAAAATTGGAAATGTCTTGGAAACATCATCTTTCCAAGACATTTCCAAGCGTATAAATGTGGACTTTTTCCAGTGATAATAACTGGAACTATAACTGGAAATAAAATTTACCAATGATAAAATAAAATAACTTTGGCCATGACAATGGGAAAATATTTCATCCAGAAAATTTTCCTGTAGGTGACGATCCCGTTACATAGACAGATCCCTACGCTCATCCTCCTGATGAATACATCCGTGTTAGAATTGATCTTCAGTAACCCATGCTTGAGGCGACTAACGGGATCGGGTGATCAGGCTCGATGACTGGGTTGACACGAGTTCCTGTGTGCAAACTCAAAACCTTAGGTGCAAATTCATTTTCTCATGCTGTTGCCACTCTCTGGAACTCTCTACCATCGGATTTAAAAAACCTCTCCATCACTCCCAGTCTTTAAGTCCAAGCTCAAAACTCACCTCTTCTAAGAAATATATATGACGTCAACTTTCCTGTACATATAAACCTGCATATATGTTATGCGCTTTAGAGCATGTCCCTGGGTGGTGTGGATGAGGCGCTATAAAAGTATTCTTCTTCTTATTATTATTATCGTATCCCAATTGCGTAGACTGCCTCCGTGGTGTAGTGGTTACAGCGGAAGGTCGCGGGTTCGATCCCCGACCGCGTCATACCAAAAATACGTTAAAATATGGTACGTGTTGATCCCTGCCTGGCGCCGGAATTAATGGGTACAACAAGGACTGGTCGGCTCAGAGTCAGTATAATGTCCATTGCGGCATGGTATCTCAGTGGGCTAGCACTGTTAAACCAGCTTCAGTCTGGGCTAGTACAAGCAGCCGCACATACACATACACACGCATGCAGGTCGTCATATGAGCGAAATATTCTCAAGCACGACTTTAAACTCAATTGCACTTCACCTCACCTCACCTCACGTCACCTCACTGAATTGTGTAGATTGATGTTCATACTGTTGATCCCTGGATTGTCTGGTCTAGATCCGATTATTTACAGACCGCCACCGAATTGATGGAATATTGCTGAGTGCGGCGTAAAACTAATCTCACTCGCTCACTCGAAGTTTCGACTTTTGAAAATACACTGGGAGGAAGTAGAAAATAATCAACCATCCTCTCCGTGTAAACTGCTTTTCGAATACCAGTGTTGTAGAAACTCTATAGGTAGTCTGCTTAGAACGTCTGCCACGACAGTATGTTCCTGGGATATCTTTTGTTCTAACAAAACCATAACCAATAATTAAGTGAACCATTGTTATTTCAACTCTAAGGCTGAGACACCGTTACTGAACACAGGTGACATATTCGCTCACATTTTGTACATTGGACATTTATAACATGTCGTACCTCGTACTGGCATACACTAAAGCACGCCAGAACCACATATTTTATTGATCAGGTACTTAGCAAACAGGAATGTATGTGTTACATTTATTTGTAGATTCCCTGGCCTTTATATCGCCGGAATACTGCTAAAAGTCGCGTTGTATTTTACTGACTTTCTCACATTCCTTTGAAATTTAGCAAATGTTTACAGGTGTTTTCAGCTGTCAAATTATTGATTTACAAATATCCAAATGAATACAATTTGGAGTTACTGTCATTTTAAAAAGAAAACTGATTCGCGTATTACATTCAGATGTATGGTACAGAGGCGATATATTCGACCAAAGTGCATAATATGAAGAGAAATTACATAATATTAATTGCATGAAAGCCAGGAGAAAATGTTCTGAAACATGAATGAACTAAATGAGCAAGTGGGTGAGCAAAATGACTCTGAAGATAAAACATGATCAGAAATCATAACATACAGTACAACATGCAACTTATGTCAGCAATGTCAGCAACATACGCCACAAACAACCGAATTCTGAAAATCCCTATGTTGCTAGGGCATTCAAGTGAATGGAAGATATGCCCCTTGGCCTCTTTCTGATCTGATTTGCCATGATGATACAGTATCGTTTGATAATGGTCAAAATGAACATTTGGATCAACTGATTTACCCACATGAATAAAAACCAAACCGACCAATCAAGCACCATCAAAACAACGCAGATATTTAGTTAGCCCATAATGTGCACAGCGCGTCTATGTGCGGCATACTCAGTAGAATGATATGAATACGTGTCATTAAAACTTACTTTAAATGCTATCGCAAAGTTTTAAGTTGACATGCATGATGCAATCTAAATTATTTGGAAACCTGCAGGTGTCCATGCTTAACTAGCACACAACAGATAAGAGAAGGTAGATATGTCGTTGCTTTAGAAAGATAAACACGCACACCCAGTTCTAGTTAGACAGAAATCAGCATATATATATTTCAAGCAGCTCAGTGCATGACTCAGTGAAGATTTTAGCTGGTGTTTATGTATTTGACGAACTCATCGAGAAGCATGATGAAGATATTGGCTTTTCACTTGCTCTGTCTTGGAATAGTCCATGGAAGGAAGAATGTTTTATTTCTGGTTTCGGATGATATGAGACCAAACCTTGGTGCCTACGAAGGACCAGATTTTCCATCTCCTGTTCATCCGAAGATGCACACCCCAAAATTTCGATGCGCTTGCTGCCAGATCCCTGTTACTCAAGCGAGCTTATGTCTCAGTGGCTTTATGCAATCCGAGCAGGACGGCCGTCCTCACCAGCAGGCGCCCTGACACAAGCCACATCTGGCAAAACGAACTGTACTTCCGTCAGTATGGGGGTAATTTTACAACACTACCCCAGTATTTTAAACAAAACGGTTATAGAACCATTGGAATGGGGAAAGTATTTCATCCAGGAATAAAGTCCGGAGGTGACGATCCTGTTTCATGGACAGATCCCTACACCCATGCTCCTGATGATTACATCAAAGTTGACAACGTCCTTATAGAAGCAGTCTCAGAGGAAAGAGCTAAAGCCCGACCACTTCAAGATCAACTTCTGGCCGAGTATGCCATCCAGGCGCTTAAGCAGGTGGCCCCTAAAGCTAAATCAGGTGAGCAACCGTTCTTTCTTGCTGTGGGAGTTCCGTAAACCCCATGTAACCTGGAACTTCCTGCCCGCTTTAAGGAGTACTACCCTCTGGAAAGTCTGAGTCTGCCACCAAATTACTATGCTCCTGTAGGAATGCCAGCCATAGCTTGGCACAATTTCGTTAATCTGACTAGGTATAAAGATATGCAGCCCTACAACGTGACCCACACTGGTCATATTAACTTTACATTTCCCGACCAAATCACTCTTGAGATGCGACAAGCCTACTACAGCTGCATAAGCTACATAGACTATGAACTTGGAAGGGTCATTGCAGAGCTGGATAACCAGGGTCTGACCAATAATACAATAATATCCTTCTGGGGTGACCATGGATGGCAGTTGGGGGAACATTCTGAATGGCAAAAGGAAACTAATTTTGAAGATGCTACCCACGCTCCTATGATGATTCATGTTCCTGGAGTTACTGATCATGGTGTTGTCACTGAGAAACTTACAGAATACGTTGATCTGTATCCTACACTCGTTGAAGCTGCAGGACTTCCAAAACTCGACATGTGTCCACCAAACTCTCAAAATGTCAGTCTGTGTACAGAGGGTACAAGTATGGTGCCACTTATGACGAATCCTACAACGGACGATTGGAAAACTGCAGCATTCTCAGAGTATGCCAAGAAAAGCAATGTTATCGACGGTGACGCAGTTATGGGATTCAGCATGAGAACTGAAGAGTATCGATACACAGAGTGGATCAACTTCAAGGCCATGCCTCTGTATAAACCGATGTGGGACGAGCTGCAGGGGAGTTGAACTCTATGATCACATGAAAGACCCAGAGGAGAACTATAACCGAGCAGATGACCCATCCTACAAAGACGTCAGGGTCGAATTGTCAAGGAACCTGAGGCTGGGCTGGCGTGGAGCTCTTCCTAATAGACGCGTCTGAGGTCAACACGGCCTGTAACTTGCGCTGTTAAAAAACTTCTCGAAATATAAATGTTCACTTTGCTCAGATGTCTTTTGATCATTGTTTTCCCATTAAGACTTAGGTGTGAATGGATCTTGATGTACATATAACAGAGACAACATCACGGTCAAAACGTTTTGGGAGATGAACAGATAGGTTAATGGAGTGATGACCTAAATCAGTTGGTTTAGTTACATTCATAGGTGTTTTGGGGTTGATTGTTAAGAGCCGCACTCAGCAATATTCCAGCTATGTGGTTTGGGTCTGTAAATAATCCAGTCTGGACCAGACAATCCAGTGATCCACAGTATGAGCATCATCCTACCCAAGTGGGATACGATGACACGAGTCAACCAAGTCAGCGAGCCTGACCATCGGATCCCGTTAGTCGCCTCTTACGACAAGCGTGGGTTTCTCAAGACCAATTCTACCCCGGATCTACACTGGTTTACAAGGAAACGTGTTCAGTGTTGGACTCGTTTGATTCGTTACTTGTATTGTGCCCTTTGTTGTTGCATGTGGTGTTCACGTAAGCTGGTATGTGTGGGCACGATAGAAGGAAACAGTGGGGTTTAATTTCAATCAGTTAGAATGCATGTTTCCATCTGACTAATGATCAAACGTTCAATGTAATGCAAACATTTTGCATTGTGCACATTCAAATTTAGTAGAATCGTGGCTCGATGTATTGAAACTTTTGGGACCTGGAAATAACGTAAAGTTTCGAAAAACTAAATTTCGTATTATAAGAAATTATTTCCAACATTAAAGTAAAAGGCATACGTAAATTTCAGTGCCAAGATTCACTGCTTACTGCGGACAGGTTCAGTTCACCCACTGAGTTTAACAAGAATGATTAAAATCAGAGCTCACTCACTAAGTGTATCATCACAACTCACTCTTAACCTGTTTTATCACAGATCACTCAAGTTACCATGACAGTTTACGAAGGATCTGAGGTGATGTGAAATGGGGTTTAACGTTGTACTTGAGAATATTTCGCTGATATGACGGCGTGCATGCGTGTGTATGTGTGGCTGCTTCTACTAGTCCAGACATATGCCGGTTTTATAGTGCTAGCCCACTGAGATATCATGCCGCAGCTAAGCTCAAACCCCACTCAAACACATTATACTGACTCCGAGCCGACCACTTTTTGTTGTACCCATTATTGCCAAGTGCCAGGCAGGGAGCAACAAGTACCATATTTTAAGGTCTTTTTGTATGCCGCAGCCGGGGATCGAACCCGCAATCTTCCGCTCTCCGGGCGGACGCTCTATCCACAACACCACGGAGGCGGCACAGTTCACGAAGTATCTAAGGATACCATCACAGCTTAGTGAGTTTAACAGTTATATTAAAACTCAATGAGTAAATTATTACACTCGCCAAGTATATCACTCACTAACTGTATCGGGGCGATAGGGTAGACTAGTGGTTTAAGCGTCCGTTCAACTCACTGAAGCCCCGGTTCGAGTCCCCTTATGGGTACATTCCTGGTGTTCACCGCCGTGTTATTGCTGGAATATTGCTAAAAGGAGCGTAAGGACATACTTACTCAATGACTGTTTCGTCCGAATTAGCTTACTAAGTCACAGCTAAGTGACTGAGTCATTAAGTCACAGCTGTAATGTGTCTCATCACAGATCACTCAAGTAGATCATTACAGCTCACGAAGTAAACATCACATCTCACTTACTCGGCAAGTACATGATCACATCTCACGAAGCCTATCTTCTTAGTTCACCCACCAAATTTATCATGACTGCTAACTCTCACTGAGTATACCATTTCATATATCGCACTAACTCCCAAAGTGAGTGAGGTGAGTGAGTGAGTTAATATTTAACGTCACATCGGCAATATTTCAGCCATATCGTGACGACTAACTCCCTATGTAAATCGTCTACACACAGTCATCAATTTTGTCATCTAACATCACGCACTAAATGTCTCCTGAGAACCACGAGGAGCACAAATGGGCATAAGTGTTCTTGTATAGGTACAGGCAGGTCTCACTCGGAATCAATATGTTTCAGAATATATTTCATTTAAACATCTGTTGTAGGAATTATTCTACCACAGAGAGTAGACCACGCTTTAATTTTGGGCAGTTGGGTGTTGTCACAGTCAAAGCTGTTCATTTCGGACCTTACCCTAAAGGAACATACACTATCCCTCCCAAAAACTTTGTTTTGTAGTTTTAAAAGTCTATTAAGTACCTATTGTGTTCGAACAATCGTCATAATATGTATCAAAAGGGTTGATAACAAGATTTTACACAAGTTTCCACCTGTGAAAAATGGATTTTACCTGAAAATGTAGAGTTTGATGAGATTTCTTACAAGGATTAATGACTCATCGCCACAACTCAAAAGAAATCATCTTGAGCGTACAAATTGTGCAGGTAAGAGCATGCAGTGTTTGGCTACAAAAAGCCAAATCACTTTCGGAAATTGGCATTCGTTTTGAAGGAGTTTAAAGGCCAAATCATTATGCCACGTCTTGACACTGCGACACGGAACATCGCAATTGGACGAATGCATGCTAGAGTGTCCCAATATCTGTTGCCAGGCATCTGAATCTTAGACAGAGCTCGACATCACGGGTTGCAGCTCATTACAGGCCTAGCAAATGACCGTCCCCGTACAGGAAGACCTCGAATCACCACTGAAACCTAAGATTGGTACATCCGGGTACTACATTTGCGTGATTGTACGTGATCGTCACCATCACGCTCACGTCTTCATTGGCGTAACAACGTGACTGCCTGGAACCTACGAAACTGATGAATCCAGGTTCCCACTGCAGAGACGTGACGGACGAAGCATGGTCTACAGACGGGTCCATGAACGTTATGCTCCAGCTGAAGTGGACAGATTTTGTGGTAAAAGCGTTAGCGTGTAGGTGGGAATGTCCTACACCACTCGTACCAATCTGATCCACGTCGGGGGGAACCTGGAGGCTGTGTGTTACAAAGGCACTATCCTGCAGCCACACCTCCTGCCAGCAATTGGCGTCCGGCGTGAGTTGTTCCACTTGACAACGCCAGGCTGCACACTGCACGTGTCACAATGGACATTCTCGCCGCTAACATTGTTAACGTGCTCCCCTGGTCGTTTCGTTCTCCAGATTCCCCACATGGGTACAATGCCATTGTGTGAAGCCCATATCTGGTGTTCCACACGTGATGTTGCTGGAATATTGCTAAAAGCGGCGTAAAAGCAAACTCAGTCAGTCGTTCCCCGGATCTTAATCCAATAGAGCGCCTTTGGGATGAACTTGATCGTCATTTCCGTCAGCTAACTGCAGGCAGTTGTACAGCGTCTGATCGAGTCTATGACAAGGCGTGTGAGATCTTTTATTCGTGCATTTGGTGGGCACAACAGGTATTGAAACTTCTTTGAAGGTTGAAAGGAACTTGTGAATGGTTTATCTAAATTATCCACTCTGTTGTATAGACATTTCAAACTGATGTAAAATAATGTACTAAAGTCTGATGCCACTAGGAAAGCCTGGATGACAGGAGTCATCTGTACTGAATGGTTGAACAGATTCAACAGAATGATGAGAAGAGCTAATCGGCATGTCTCGTTATTGCTGGACAATGTCCCTAGTCGTGTAATCCAGATGGATTAACCCAATGTGACAATACACTTCCTGCCACCTACAACAAGTCACCTGCAGCCACTAAACACTGGGATTAACGGTACAGTTAATGCTGAAATGGTCACCGGAAAATAACTGAACAAAGAACTTGCTGTAAAATGTCATTTTTATTTGTGCATTCACTGGGGCAGTAGTTTATCATCTACATGATAAACAATACATATAAATAAAGTTCATAGCTGTATTTAAATAAAATAACATACAATACATAATATAATATAATTTTACATGTTTTACATACATAGTTCATAGCACTAGACCATTACCGAACCAAGAATCACAAGCTTAAGAACTTCACAGAATAGGACGCATTGTCTAAATTACTGTATCAATATCAGGTCGTTTCTTGCAAGCTTGAACTTCAATGTGTCCAATCGTCGCTCAAAATCTGGGGGGCGCCCGTGAAGACCCACCTCCTCGTGGTGGGTGCTTGGTAACGCTAAGAGCTCTTCGACCCCCCGTTGTGGACCCTGTTTGCCGTGGGTTGCGCCCCTGTGTCGGTGGAGGACGGGATTCTGGTGGTTGAGGGCACTGGTTCCAGGAACAATGTTCCTTTGCCCAACACAACACTTCGTCCCTGACTTCACCCAGACGGGTGGTTGAATAGGCCCGGTTCAACCAATCGGCTGGTCATGCTAAGCCCTGTACATGTACCTTTTGCTGCAACATTTTAGACATTTTTCCAAATTTTTGAGTCCTATGTGCAGAAGGCAGTGGCTCATGGGCCAATCCGGTGGAATAATTGCTTGTTGATTATCCTGCTTGAGTATATCATCCGGGTATCCTTGGTGCTGCAAGTCGGAGGCTCACTTGTGATTAGCATTGTCCTTGTGATACTCCGTGCTGGGTGGGGAGCCCGGATGGTGAATCAAAATAAACTTACCATGGATAATAAAAAAACCACCAAAAAAACCAAACGTCCACTCGAAAATGATGATGAGCAGAGACCATCCAAACCTGCAGAAAATTGGCCACGTTTCCTGGTTCCCGACACTGTAGACGAGACACCACTAAAGCTGAATCCTTTTGTGATTTCTAAGGGCATATATTGCATCGCAGGGGAAGTGAAGAACATAAAACGCTTGCGTTCGGGATCTTTATTGATCGAATGCATTACGAAGCAACAAGCCACCAACCTGATGACTACAGATATATTTGCTGGAATCCATGTTTC